TGAAGTTGCATGACTGTGATACTTGTTAGTTTCTTGTGTTTAAAGATGATAAAAAGTGCTTGGGTGGCAGACTGAGGTTAAACAAGCATTTGTTTTTCTTGAATCACAAATCACCATCAAGGTTCTAAAGCACATGCATGGCTCCCAGTTTTTTAGATACAAGTAGGCTTCAAGAACTTGTTGAAAAGCATTTGGAAGGGGGGGGGGGAATATCTTTCATGTGCTTTTCAAAATGCATTTAACCCACCTACCACGTGGAAAATTTGGCATGCATGTGAAATTTTCGCGTGAAATGTAATGTAGGCATAAAAAAAGTGTGAAGTCTGCACCTTATTTTGACCATTACTAGCCCTTTAATGAAGTCAGAGTAAGAATTCGTTATTTTTTAAGACTCACCTCACTGTCAACAGCATATTTGCTGATCAAAAAGCAAGCTCCTCGATATAACAAAAGGGACAGGACTTCTCCAACAAGACGAGGAATGATACCACTTTTGACATGGACAGATGACATTAAACAGGATAAGAATTAAAACACTTTAATTGTTAAGTGATTCACGGTTGAATTATTTCTTAACCACTTGCCACAAAACTTATATTTGCAAAGCAAGTATCATTGTGGATAGCTACTTAATACACCTGAATGGGAAATTCCTGTAGTACCACTGCTTGTTGTCAAGTTCCATTTTGTGCCTAGACCACCTGGATTACACTTGATTGATTCCCTCCCAAGTGTGAAAGCTACTGCTGATGGAATTATGCAATTAACCGCTTAGGGAAAAAATGACGATTATTACAATCATAATAAAAAGGATTAAAAAAAAATTTATAAATGTTAGAACTCTAACCATAAGTTCTATTGATTTCAACCCCATAATTGATCAGTAACATAAGTTTTATTGATTGAGCTGTTATAAAACTGTTTTACCATCTGATATTTCCCACCTGAAAAATCCAGCAAGTCCTTCATTGTTATAAATCTCTTTGACCGATGCACGTAGTCCACTGAAAACAAATTTATTAACAAGCAATAAGATAAAGATATTTTATGTGTACATGTTCTTGTTCATGATAGCTGGCACATCCAAATAAAATTGAAAGGAACAATCAACTTATCATCCTTATTTCCAAAATATCTTCCCCTTTCTCTCCATAGGCCTGGTTGTTCCAAGGCAGCCTAGCACTAACCCAAGGATAAATTGTAATCTAAACTTCTATGTTTCTCCACTCAGAAGCCATTTTCGGATAATTTTCCCTATAGTTTTTCGAGCATTCAATCATCAAATTGTAGACAAAAGGAACTAAACTGAAATATGTTTTCAAGCTTTCAGATCTTAAACCAAATTTCACCCTAACTCAGATTTATCTTAACCCAGCTTTGAACATTGCCACCAAGAAGTGATAAATATGTAATTGTCATCCATCATCCAGCAAACAGGTAATGAGAATAATCAAACTTATCAAGTGGAATTTGTTGTCTTGATCTAACACCAAATTCTGATATTAACTAATTTATAATGGTAACTGAACTGAGTGGAGTGCAATTTGGGCTGAAATCATACGTGTGATTTCAAAATCGAACAAGCGGGCAGCGCGAGTTTGATTTGAAATCACAAGTATGATTTCAGACCAAAATTGCAATACACGAGGTTCAATTACAACTTTATTACATCCATTTTGAAATCGTCTAAATACAGGACTTGTTCAATTCAAATATTTTACTGAGGCAGTACTGAGCCGGTTTTTAAATAATAGGTGGAACCGGAAACAATTTTACATCTTATTTTATATGCAAAACAGAAAGACTGATGTCATGTGTCAAAAACTCAGTCAAGCGTAAAATGATGTGATTTAGAGCAAAAAATGGTGCGATTCGGGAATAAATTGCACCAATTAGAGCCAATAAGATTACAGGGACCACCAGTGATTTCAAAATGGATGTAATAAACAATTTAATGTGTGGCAGTAAGAGGGAAACTGAAAATCAGATCTTGGGAGTTTGAGGGTTACATTTTAAGAAAATCAGCCAATTAAAAAACTGAGCCCTTGAAATTTAAGAATTGTCGATTAGAGATTGAATTTATTAAGTGGACTGCACGAAAAGAACTGACCTGTAAATAGTTTCTTGACCAACAAACTGAACCATCATTCTTACCGAGATCACTAGAAATTTAATAAGAGAGGTGTCATTGGTCAATCCATATATGCTAAAAACAAAAACAAAATAAAAAAAAAGTTACAGCAACTCTAGACTACTTATCTACTTTAATTTTGTTATCTTTGAATTATAGCTCTGATGTCTCATCCTCACTTGAAATTTAAGGTGCAATCTTAGCACCTTACCATAAAATGGGTGACTGATAATTATTCCACTGCATTTTGCCACAGTCTGTACACAGGTCTAAAAAGGGAACAGTTCTGTTAGTTTTGACATCAGCAAAGAGGTAAGTGACCCAGACCAGTCTAACAGTCCTCATCCTTGTTCCGGTCACATGAATCCACCTTGAGTATTACAACTTCAGATAGATGTGATCCTGATCCATCGCAAAATACCCCCTCCACCCAGTATTCCACCAAGTTTCCCTGATAATTTTTACAGGTAACAATCTATATTCCTCCAATCGAATAACAGGTTGAATAACAGGTAGCAAAGTGTGTCAGAGACCCTCCTTGACTCTTTGATCACTAAGAGTGACCAGCATCTAATTTCTCCTTACAATATCACCCCTGAATCAAACATTACGGACACATGAATAAAGAAAGTCATCACCAACTAAAGCTCTTGATTGTTTAACAAATTCTCCTTGTAAGCACCTTAGGAAATGTATAGAGAGAAGTGTGGAGAATATGCAAACTGATGTTAGGGTGTAAAGAGTTATTCCAATTTCAAACCCATTCCCCTCAGTCCAAAGTTTGGTGTACAAACCATTGAGCTAATCCATTCCAAAAAGTCAGATTTCTCCATTTAAGCAAACAGTAAGAGCAAAACTGGTTAAAATACCTCCTCAACAAACTCTACCAATTCTTCTTGCCTGCTCTAAAATGACAAGAATAACAGAGAAAACATTTTAATTATGTACAGGGCTGTACAATTCAAATAATTCTAATCTAAGGTTAACAAAAAAATGAAATACAATAAAAAAGTAGCAAACCCACCTTGTTTTCTGGAGGAACCAATGGGACAAGGGCATTGTCTTTTTTACCCATAGCCTATATCAACACAATTCACATTATATCACATCTGATGTAAGGTTAAGAAATACAAATTAAATTTTGGAAAAATCAAATTACTGTCAAAGGAATGCGGTATAATTATATAAAAATCATAATCAAAGTTAATTCAAGGTAATACCTGTAGCATTGTATTATTTACAAGAGTTCCAATCATAGACGAGTAGACCCTGACAATAATCATAGAGAGAAAATAAATCTAACACCAGAAATAAAGTTTGCCAAAAATGATAAAAATTACCTTAGACAGCAGAGGGGTTTTCATCACATAAAGCCAAGAAGAGAGCAGATATTTCAACATACAAAAATCCATCCCACACTCTGCATGACATCATTTTTGGTATAGCAATGAGGAAAAGCTTCCTAGCATTTCAGTCTTAATGATATTTTTCATTTCTCTCTCCTTGTGAACAAAAAAAAAATATATAACTTCTGGAAACCAAAGCATATAAAGCTCACCTTGGTAATAATCCACTGTAGAGTCCACTCCATCCATTAATCTTCTTCACATGATTTGCTGCAGGATTATAAGGCAAAAAATACCAAACATAACATGTTAGGGTTCACAATTATCTTGATAATTATCATGTCAACTATAGGGTGCTTCTCTACTCTAACACTTATTATCACCTAAAAATTATGTTGTTATCTTCATATGCCGACCAAAAAAGAATACATTTATATTACAGGAACAGTGAATCTTTTTCAAGACATTGCAAAGGATAAAACTAGGTCATTTGCCAAAAAAACAAATCAGAACTTCATTAAAATGCTTTTTCACTGTAGCTGTACAACCAAAGCCAGTACGTAAATACTAAAAAAAGCTTATCACAATTTAATATAAATATCACATGAAGCCAAATGAGAACTTGCAATGGAAAAAAAGCGAACTGCGTGGTAAAATGAAAGTGAGAAAGTTGATATTGGTTCCAGTTTTGCATCTGATAGTTTGAGAGGGTGGCAGAAGTTTTTCAGACCAATCACTGAGAGAAATAATTAAAAATAAAACCAGCTGAAGGCAATCCCAGATTGCTGTCAACACTGAACTGATAATTGCTCTGATTGATTCAAACCCAAGAGAACCCATGTGTCAGTCTCCTTAAAGCTCATGCAATTATAATACGTTTATTTACATCCTTTAAGAAACAATATTAAAAAAAGAATGAATAGTATCTTCTTAAATTCCTTACCATACTGGAAAAAGCTTGGTAATCGCCAGACCTTAGTTCCTAAAAATGTTGTTGACTCAGTTGGAGAAATTGGTTCATGCCCAACCTGAGGAAAAAGAAATCATTTTATTTCAAAACCTCAGTGAATAAAAGTACAAGGTAAAATACAATTCCCGTGATCAGTTAAATGATCTGTACATTCAAATAACTTTCCATTTACAATGCCTTGCGATCCATGACTTGTTCTGAACCTCCTTTAATTAAGTATATTTTCATTTTGAGTTTAGGAAGGCAACTAAGACAGATTTTATGCCTTTGTTGATCTAATAAAGAAAGAAAAAAGATAACTTTCTAAAGAATAATGTTCATTTGAACATGGCATTAAGTGTTAGCTTAGCAAGGTTTAATACAAGAGAAGATCACTGCATGCCCAAATGCTGATCTAATATCAGAAATTGAGCCAGCACTAGCTGATCTGGTGTTGAGTACCAAACCAAACAAACCTGCCAAATCAAATTGATTAAAATGATGCTGTTTTTCTGTATTTTATTCATATGTAAAGCAAAGATCATACAGTACATGGCACAACATCTGAAATGAACCCAAAAAGATCCTTCTGAATCAAAATTATAATCAACAGGGGAGTAGACTTAAACCCTGATCTTATTATTATCAACAAACTCCAGAGGATCTTTCTACCACAATCAATCTGTTCTATTTCATATTTTTACTACCCAATTAAATATATGAAGATGAAACAATTTTTAATGTAATTAGAAAAAATCCAAGCCCCAGGTGGGACTTGAACCCACAACCCTCTGTGATCTAGTCGGAGGCTCTAACCACTGAGCTACTGAAGACTCTATGGTGAGCAAGGGTCCATTTGAGGGCCTGGACTGGAACTGCATCACGAGGCTACACAGCCAAGTATTGATCAGCACTGATGAAACTCACTAACAACATCACACTGTCACATTAAAGCATATCAAGATGCAGCTAACCAACCTCCAAAGTGAGCATAATTAAATATGATCACTTTTAATTATTACTCTACTCTACTTATTGCAACCTCTTTCAATGGTTTCCTAGTTTCCAATTCCCGCACTGTATTAGCATTTTTAAACAAGTGCTCATGTCTGTTAGTAAGATTTTTTCCTAGAGTGTCTCTGGCATTTCGAACTGTCACGTATGGATATTGCACCAATATCCATTTATCAATTAACTTGTTTTTTCAATAATTTTTACCTTTACATTTTAGTTTTATTTTTATTGCATATTGCTTTTATTCTGGGGGCTGCCGTCAATGAGAATTTAGTTCCTCTCTGGCTTGACCCTTTTTGCCTTTTTGCATCTCGATGTTATTTCTATTGTTATCTGTCTGTATTATTATTATTATTATTATTATTATNCAGTGGAACCTCAATTTAATGAAGTGCTAAGGGACAGGGGAAATTAGTTCATTATATCGAGGGTTCATTATATCGAGGTTCAGTGGCATACATTTTACTGCAAACTTAGCTGGGCTGAAACTTAAGTATTGTTCATTATACCAAGGACTTGATTATATAGAGGTGTGTTAAACCAAGGTTCCACTGTATATTGAGATAAAGCAACCACTCCCTCACTTCGAATTTTTACATTTTCTACCCTACATGATTTTACATTTTTTACCCTTAATGATATTACCAAAGCCAATAAGAAGAGGTTTTTTTTCAATTCAAAGAGAAATTCCTGTCTACTGTGTACATTTGTCCTTATCCAGCCTTAAGTTCAGTGAACACCTCTCGACCTCACCATTTGTTCCCTTCATGAATATTTAAAAATTGTTATGAAAAGAAGCCAATATGGTACTTTTGTACCTAAACATCCCTCACGAAATGAAGCTGGGAGGTTCTGTGGGTAAGAAATATGAATGCTAAGAGATGTCACGCAAACTTCTATAGGTTGAACCTTGTGCCGGTGAAGTATCACAGTGAAATATTACTGGGTCTTTTGACATATAATCTATTTATTACCTGCATCAAGAGTCGAACACATGTTAGTGGCTGAGTTGCTGTGGTCATAAAAGCAGTTAAAACGAGAGCACCAGCTGTTGTGCCTTCGTTATCCAAGAGATCTTCCAGACTTTGTCCACTTCCATTACCTTCATTAGCAGCCGCCATGTTGAGTTTTTCGCGAGAGTGAGGCTGAGCACATTTGATCGTCTTCGTTTTGTTTCAGGGGGAGGGGCGGGACACTCAAAAACTGATAGTGAGCCTACTTCAATTTCGTGTTACCTTTCTCCTAAAAATCTCTTTGAATACTGCGCTTATCGATATTCGAAATTCTACATTGATACTCGCATTCTCCTCCTTTTTCCAATGTGAAAATTTCTCCTCGTGGCTACCCACCCCACCCCACTAAAGCTTAAGATCAGCAGTGAATCAAAATGGCGGCACAGGTGAAGCAAATGCTACACACTCTCTCCAATGCTGGTGGTTCCCATAAGGATATTACAGGGAAATATCGCGAAATTTTGGAGAAAATTTTCAAATTTCAAGAGCCATCTCTCACGGAAGGCCTCAAGACTTTCACTGAAGCTTGTAAGTTTGTTAAACATATATAGTAAGTTATTGATTAGATTCAGCTGGCCAGTGGTGGAGGATGAGCGACCGGGAAAAGGGGGGCACATCGTAAAGAGTGGCGATTTTATCGTTTTATTTTTTCCTTCATTTATCCCTCTGGTTAACATTTTATTTAAGTATGTCTGTGTTTTAGTCACATGCTTTTCCTTCGTTAGTTAGATGGCCTTCCTTGCATTGATAAGGAAAGATTGTTTATTTTACTTCACCAACTGCAAGAGGGTGGCAAAGGGGGGGGGGGGGTTTCAATCACACATCACGCGGAATTTTTGTATAAAGTTGCGTATCACGGATAATTTTCTTAACTAATCACATGTCACATAAAAAGGAGTAAGGAAGCATTCATTATTTATGGGAGGGGGTGGGCTGGCAAGATTTTCAGTGAGGCTAAACAAAATATCCTGACCCTGCTCCATAAGAATTAAAAATGTCATGACCCCTTTAGTTGTAATTGTAAAAATAGCTAGCCCCCCTCCCCACCCCTAGGACTATCAAAGCCGCTAGGTTAAAAGAAGTGAAAAACATCTTTCAAATATTTAATTTTATTGCAAAACACCTTAACAATACAGTTTTAGAGTTTAAAATCTAAAGTTGATACAAAATGGGTAACATAATATAAGAGATATCCTATGTGGATGACATTGAAATTTTGTATTGCAGTAGTGATTCTTCAGAGACTAAGGAAAGTAGTCAGGAGCACATCATACCAGTTATGGAATTGACTCATAGCACTCGGTCTGGACTTAGTAGTGGCACATCGTTTTCTAGATACCAAGACCAGTTCGTGTATTTCTAATATTCTGTGTTTGCTGCCCCACTACAATCATAGCTTGCCAAGAATACCTATTGTGCCAAAAGCTCATGGCTAGCCTATATAATATAATTGTAAATAACTTAGAACTTAGAACATCTCATCATTGTTATCCCTTTTTATTGTTTATTTTTATTGTTAATACTATTGTAAATATTACACTCAGCTCGCCTTCACTGCAATCTTGTAATATAGTTTTTGAAATAACTATTATTATAGCTTGAAGAAGAATAGCTGTCCAGTGTATGCAAAGTTAGCTATTGTTCGCTATATCTTGTATGACGGGTAGTAGAAATGTTCTACAAACTTAAACCCACATTTGTAGATGATATATAACAACAAAAAGCTTTTGACCCCCCTACATTATTCCCAAATTTTCCTAATGACCCCCTATTTTAGTTCCTGAATTTATCATGACCCCTCCCCCCATTATTCTTGCCAGCCCTTCCCCCCGCCATAAATAATGAAGGCTCCCTAAGTACGCTACTAATGAGAACAAGTGTAATGAAATGCTATAATTTGAATAATTTTTTTTTATATCAACAAAGTTGAAATGGTAAATTGGCCAACGTTACGATTAAAAAAGCTGACGTTTCAAGCATTAGCCCTTCGTCAGAGCGAATAGAGGAATTGTGGGTTGTATGTGGTTTTAAAGGCAGAAAAGGAGCTACGTGATTGGTGGGAACATGGCAACAAGAAAAGCACAAATAAATTGGTGGAATGAAAAGCGTTCGTTGATACCTGTGGGATTTAGACTGGATTTAGACTGAATGAAATGGTAATTTAGCTGAACACGGGCACAAAAAGTTGAATGTGAATCACTTCCCTGCCACATCCTTCTGAGTTTGACTATAAATGAAATAGTTTTCCGTCATTTTCTTTTATTTTTTGCAGTGGTTCATGAAAATGTAAGCCTTGTTGTATCAAGACAGATTTTAAGTGAACTTTGTAATCACATTCCAAACATGGATGCATCTTGTGCAAAGCAGGTGTCACATTTTGTCTTGGACAAATTACAACCAAGAGCCATATCTTTTGAGGAACAGGTTAGGAAAATTAATTTGTCAAGCTTTTAAGGAGTGAATTGAATCATACTCTACGTTATAATAGCCAATCTAGCCAATGTTTTATATGGGACGAACTGCAGCAGCAGGAGGTAGAGTCTTTTGTTGAGACATGTCTCATGTTTATATTCCTGTTTTCAATTCATGAGACATGCGATATGTGCAGCATTTGGTAGCATGGATTATAGTTTTTTTTTGAAAATATATCTTTGGAATTTGGAGTTTCTACTTTCATTTTCTCCTATAGATCATTATTGTCCAGCTTTTTTTCTGTCAATATTTCAATTTACAAAAGGCTAGATTTCTGATGATTCAAGTTGGCAATTTTATCATTATGGAAATCATTTCATTTTTCTTTTTTGTTGTTTTGCAGGTTGCAGTAATAAGGAAGCATTTGGCCAAAATATATGAGGATTGCCAGGAATGGCGAGAAGCTGCCAGGGTGCTCACTGGAATTCCTGTGGAGTCAGGGCAAAGGTTTGGTGCACTTGCTTTATTTGTTTCATGATGTGCTTTGTGATTATGTGAGATGAAAGAAAGCCAAAGAGTTGTTATTGACAATGACCAATCGTAATGCTTTTAATTAATGTTCTGACAATTATAGCAGGGCTACAACTTTCTGGTTACCTCTGTCAATAACTATTGATTTAACAATTCAATAATAATAATAATGTTTTTGATATTGTCCTGAAGGATGGGGTCTGGCTATCTGACTGACCATCACATTCTAGGTAACTATGACTGTTTTATGTGATTCTTTGCAGGCAGTATTCAATAGATTATAAATTGGAAACTTACCTGAAGATTGCACAGTTGTATTTGGAGGATGAAGATCCTGTTCAGGCTGAAGCATACATAAACAGAGCATTAATCCTCCAAGCAGATACAAAGACAGAGAAACTACAGATACTTTACAAGGTACCAATCAAACTAATCATTTTAGATAGAACTAGCCATGTAACTCCCTATACTGCTCTTTTGAAAGAGTGACGTTATAGTCAGAAGAGAAGAATAGTTAGAATAGCCTTCAAAATTTAAAGACAAAGACATTGATTCTGCAGTTTATTTTGGCAATGCACAATCTTTTGTTTAATAATAATAATAATTTTAATACAGTCTTTATTTCAGTTCAAAGGATAAAAACATATCTTAAGTTAATTAGAATATATTTAAAACTAAACTAAAACATACTTAAAAATTAACCTATTTACAAGTGTTGGGTATTAACTTTGGGTGAGAGCACCCTTTCCTATGTAGATTGCATGCAGTATTTTTCTTTTCAGGAATGATTTGTTTAAGAGGGTGTGGGCCCAGTGAGATCACCTTATAAAAAATTTTTCTGTCTTATGTCTCTGAAAGGCTTGAAATAATGAAGTGACAGGAACTATATCGCCGTTTGTAACATGAGATCACAAGTTGTGACTGATGAAAGTATTGAAACATTCTTATTTTTAGTTTACTCAAATGAATGTACATGGATTGTTATTGAATATTGCACAAGGTCAGCTCTGAAAAACCTAACAAAGGCACTCGGCAGAGAAATTGATCAGGTTCCAGGATCTTTGACAATCTTGTGGAAGTTAACATATATTTTATACAACACTTATTGTGTTGCAGGTTTGCTATGCTCGTCTTTTGGACTACAAACGGAAATTCATTGAAGCTGCACAACGCTACCTTGACCTATCATACAATACAGCAATACATGATGATGAGCGAATGACAGCCCTTAAGCATGCCCTGATATGTGCTATCCTTGCTTCAGCTGGTATTGACAGGAATTATCTACATACATACATACATACGTATGTTAGTTGACCACTCCCCATGGGGGCTTCTCAGGGCCAATTCCCACCCATCCCACCCCAGGGGAGGACATACACTACACAGTTATCTCATGGGTGGGAAATTAACGTCTCCTACCCCTAACCCTGCAGGAGACAGGGCCTATGGTTTATTCGTCCTTATCCAAGAATACTAGAATATCTATCCACTTTTTGATTATAGAAAGGTAGTAAGCTCTCCTCACTTATTTTAAGACCATGAGTATCAGTCTGGCCAGGGCTCAAACCCTTGACCTCCCGCACAACACAATCCGGCGCTCTAACCAATTGAGCTAACCAGGAGGCAGTTAGCTCTAGCAGTTAGAACTTCAATTTTCATTTTTAACTTGTTAAAACATCCTCGTTAAAAAACTTTGGATCAAGAGGTCTGGATTCAGCCCTGGTTGTGTTATTGGACAAGACCAGGGCTTGACACTAACTAGCCCCACTAGCCACAGACTAGTAGAAATTCAGTTTTGGCTTGTAGTTTTTGATTTCCATCAACCAGTTTGGCTAGTAAATAAACTGAAATTGTCGTAAAATCTAAGATGTCACCAGCCACCTGGGTAGTAAGTTGAAAAGTTAGTGTTGAGCCCGGAAGACAGTTTACCCTTTATGCCTCAAGACTGACCAGTTCAGTAATGCCGCCGAGTAATTCACTAAGAATGTGACACTGAAGGAAATGATTGCCAACCTAATAAGATGCTTTGATTAATAAACCAATTCTCCTTGTCAGTACTTTAGGAAATGCATAGATAAGAGTAGGGAGAATATGGTTACTGATTGTGGGTTGTAAAGCGTTGGAGCTTCACGGTGTCTATATCCACCCTTAAGTACAATTGAGGGCTTGCCAACATTCAGGGAAACTCAGAAACAAGCTGCTCACTTCAGGAGAACTAGCTAAACTCTTTGCTATTTAACATTACCAGAACTGGGGTAAGCGTTGGAAGGACTGAGTTAGTTAATTCATCATACTTTATCTGTTCTGTTTGTTTTCAGGGCAGCAAAGGTCAAGGATGCTTGCGAACCTGTTTAAAGATGAACGCTGTCAGCACCTACCTGCCTATGGAATCCTTGAAAAAATGTAAATATTCACCGTCATAATCTTGTGCAACAAACCCAACAAACAAGTCTTATCGTGCATCTATCAACACTGATGAGTTCTTTTTCTCTCCAAGGTATTTAGATAGGATAATTCGTGGACCAGAACTTCATGAATTTGCTGCCATGTTAATGCCTCATCAAAAAGCGTCAACTGCAGATGGTGGGTATTCATACTAAATACTTGTTAGTCTGGGTTTATTTTCCCTGTGATTCTTTGACAAATTTATAGTGGACTGCAATGTATTTTAAAGTTGTTTTTGGACTAAATTAGTTTTATTTTCTTCCATTTTTAAGGTTCGAGTATCCTTGACAGGGCTGTTATTGAACACAATTTACTCTCTGCCAGTAAACTCTATAATAACATCACCTTTGAGGAACTCGGAGCTTTATTGGAAATACCGCCAACCAAGGTAATTTCTGTGATAATAGTCAGTGAAATTCAATACAATCTTGAGGTACACTTTGAAACCTGAGTCAGCACTTTTATGATGGTGCAAGAAATCCTGAAAATCACAACCCCACTGGATGGCACACAGATGGAGTTGTGCCAGAGTCTAGAGTGTCTGATATAAACATAACTGTGTTGAGGTAAAATCCAAACAGTACTTCAGTGATAGTCAGGTGCTCCTCTCGTGCTAGAGCTGGTGAATTCCACTCAGGAACCATGTGGCCAACATTGCAATGATAGCATATCTTTGTTTCTGTGCCCCAAAGCAACAGAGAGTACCCGTAGTCCCCTTAGTATGGGACTCTAACCCATTACATGCTACTTCAAGCTTTACATTTGAACCCTTTGACTCCCAAGAGTGACTAGCATCTAAATTCTCCTTACTGTAAAATTACTGAATCACACATTAAGGTCAGGAGAATAAAGGAATTTATCACAGGCTAAAGAAACTCTTGACTGTTAACAAATTCTCACTGTCAGAACCAAAGGGAATGTATAGAGAACACTATGGAGAATATGCACACTGATGCAAGGGTGTAATTGAAGGGTGAAGGGGAGGAGAGAAGGGATGCTTTTTTGTAGTTCTAGTGCCCCACCTGCTCTTTCTCGATTTTCTGCCTTGTATAGTTTACCTCATCCTAGTGTAAGCTAGAATTTTGAACCAGTAGGTGTGGTAGGCATCTTTCTCATTCTAGGAAAAAATGCCAGCCTCTGAACCTTGTTGGGGCTGAGCTAACATGGTAAGACAGGAGAACAATACTCTTCACTCTATTTTAGGCCGAGAGGATTGCATCCCAGATGATTTCTGAAGGACGCATGTCTGGATCTATAGATCAAATTGATGGAGTTGTGCATTTTGAAAGTAAGAATCAACCTTTCAATGACTTTTTCTATACTTAGGTCTGAGGTAATCAACAAATATTTGGAACCATTACTGTTATCTGGTGGCATTTATGATGGCATTTATGATGAAGGAGAAAAGGCATCACAAGTGAAGCGAGGAGACGAAAATTAATCGTGGTTCATTGTTAGCCGCTTGCCGCTTACCGCTTACCGTTTGCCACCCCCGATGTAGTCTCCTTCGCAGCCGTTTTTTTTTGGGGCTTTCACACAACGCTCCCCCCTATTCTTTGGGGGGAGCGTTGCGTGAAAGCCCAAAAAAACGGCTGCGAAGGAGACTACCCTTGATGAAGTCGTAGAAATCTTTATGTAGACCTCCAGGAAGAATACGCAGTTCCCCTTATGTTTTCTCTCCTTTTTTTTTTCTCAGCTCAAGAGGTGCTTCCCTCGTGGGATAGACAAGTTCAGAATCTGTGCTTTCAGGTCAACAACGTGATAGAAAAGATCAACAGTTTTGCTCCAGAGTGGGCAGCTAAGTACAATGAATCACAAATGATATCTTGAAGTTTCAAGCTAAGTGGCAACTGTAAATAGGACAGAGCATGCATGCGAAAAGCACATTGGATGTTACTGTCGACGATTTATTGTTCCTTTCCTAAACGTTAAACGTGGAAGAAAGTGCTGTGGAATAAGATTTTCTGTAAGTTTGTGATTGCTGTTCGTGTATTAAATCTGACAATTTCTTTAACTCTTGAAATAAATTTTTTGTATTAGAGAATTGATTTACCGTGGTGAATTCTTTGGTGAGATCACGGTTCATTCGCCACTTGATTTAACTAGGACTGTTCTCGCCTTTCGACCGTCTGACCTCGCAACTGTTTAATTGGATCTTAATCTGCCATTCTTATTAAGAGAGAACAATCCTGAAAAATTATGACGGGTTTCTGAATTCTGGACGAAATGTTTACCACCATAGCGTTTGAATCAGGGATTCACGTTTAAAATGATTAAGTCGTAATTTGTCTTGTACTAGGAAACACTGATGTACGAACTAAACGCGAGAGAACCGGTTTGACCTGATCGTCGCACTCAGCGCTGAAAAATTGTTTGACTTGTCGGTAATGGTTGAGTTCGTTGTGCGGGTTTCCCTTAAGGGAGCTATGGCTCTTTATCTTGAATTGTCTTCTTAGTCGTCACAAATTGGCGCCAATTCTAACTATGATTCTAATGAGGACTTAAAATGATAGTTTCCAAGGGTATACTAAACGAAAAAGATAAGTCTGATAAGAAATGAAAAAGATTGAAAAGAATTGCAAATGATGAACTTGAAAAAAATTAAGCTAAGTTTTTTTTTAAGGTGCATAGACAGTATCCTATAACCAATTACAGCCAAACTGGACAGCCTTCATTATCAGAGAACCCAAAGACCTCGATTCTTAGCAACTGCTTTCTGAGGGATGAAGAGAGAAACCTGGTAACGAGGTTGAGAAGAGGGCGATGTTGCCCTTGACCGTATCACCTGTCCCTCTCCTGCTGGGATGTTTTTTACAACTGTTCGCGTGAGTGAACACTTAACAACTGAGCACAGCGCGTGGGCGTCCTGGGTTGGCTACAGGTGATGTGGGTGACATTAAGAGCTTAAAGGGAAGTTCAGCAAAAAAAAATTAATTTCTTTTAACACAAAATTTCTAGAAACTGCGGTGTTGATTTGAGTTAACAGCTGCAATTTTTGCCACAGGAAGAATGATTCGAGAATGCCTTGGAAAATAAGATCGTACTTTTGTTTCGTAACGACTGTTTATTACATGCTGGGTCCTCTCCTGTTATGAACTTGGTTTTCTTTCGTTTCATTTTCAACCAAGGACCAAGCACACGGTTTTTCATCGGTCAAAGAAATTTTTTACACCACATGTTCAATTTCCTTTATTTTAAACCCTGAAAAAGAATTTACTGCTGATCTTCGTTGGGTCAGTTTAGATCTTCAGTATATAAAAATTGAAAATCCTTTTTTTATTATTATCCCTGGTTTCTAGTTGCCATGCTGTCTTTTGTGTCTCCCTTTTGTCTAATTTTTTAAAATTTGAGCTCTTTTTGTTACGCGTATCGTGTAGATTTGAATCAGCAGCAAATTAAAGTGGCGTGTGTTGTCTACTGTTAAGTGATGGCAAATAACATCAATTACAGACCATGTAGGAGAGGATAAAATTTGATGTCAATTTCTTTTTTTGGGTGGATGTTTTCTTTTTTGTTCCATCGCTAGCTGTATTTTGTGGTGTGGAAGATCATTCTCAGCCAAAATTTTTTAAATTGACATTGGCCATTATGGTTTTCGTTAAAAAATTATTTGTGCCCCCTAGATCGAACAGGTCGCGTGTTTGACAGAAAAGCGGGTGGTAATCGGGTGCTAATTATAACTCAAGGTCACGCTATTTAAATCCGTGCTAAATTCAGCTTTACCTCAATTCGACGGTGTTTCTAAACGTTCGCAATTACAGATTAGAATTGCCATTTCAAGATTCAATGTTGGAAGGAAAGTCTTCTTGTCGCAGTATTGCAATGTCAGACGTGCAGGGAAAGTGCGTTGGTGTTCATAACTCTCAGAAAAGACGAGATCCTTCATGGTAAGAAAGGAATAATTTATTTTCTGTCGCTATTAATGGCAGCCCAACTGATAGAAAGATCAGAGCCACATCTTTCGCTAAATCGTAGTCTGTCGAACTTTCTTTCATCAAAACCGTGGCAAATATCGCAATGAATTGATTTTACGACCGTTATTAATCCATTTAGTTTTAAACATAAGGAGATGTGGCGGTCCAATACGCCCACCGTAGCACTGTATTTTAACATGGGTGACCTTGCAAATGAAATGTGCGAGTGTCGTCTAAAAGCCTTTTTTGTATTATTCGATCATACTACCCCGATGTCTCTTCGTTATTATTGCAACAACGAAGATTTCAAGCCTCCCGTACTCAACGGAACTATGTACGTATATTGCCTTGATGCCAGCTAGATCTAAACACGCGATAGAGTTGTAATGGAAAGTTTCTTGGATTAGTGAGGACTCTCCCGAAACAATTCATGATCACTCGTCTTAGCTTCCCCGTCTTCTGATACGATATTTGTTTTTCTGATGTTGAAGCCATCTTCTCTATTTTTTTTTTTTTTTTTTTCCCAACTGAACTTGAACTTGATGTTATTGTATTCCTTGTATTTGAACACGGTAGGAAACAGCGCCCGACTTGTGGTTTTATTGACATGATAATAGCTTCAAAGAAAAGCCGCCTTATACTGCCTTTGTTCACTTTCAAATAACTAGGAGGGTGAAAGGTTCAGAATTAATCTGGGACAGAAATAAATATATGGACTTGTAAAGGACATATAGAAATCAAAATGGTTAGTTAAATGATGTGTTGGCAGTAAAGTAGATGACAGACAAAACGAAGCTAGCCACAAACACCTATAAGAATCTTATAAAAGCAGATTTGTGTATGTTAAGTTTTATCATTATTATCATCCTTATCGTTTCCATTATTGTTGCTATAATTTTTATTGTTATTATCATTATAAATATTAATATGTTTGATACTATTTTTCTTTTTTGGTTTGGTCCTTTCAAGGGCTTGTCTAGACTTTTGCAATTCGGCTAATAAAGTCTGAGTAGATAAATGAGTGGTGTGGTGAAAAATTAAGAGGTCGTTTATGTTTATTCCATTTTTTTTTTTTTTTTTTTTTCAACAGTCTAGAGTCTTCTGGTTTAGAATTTGTTCGAATTTCTGTTGATTCATGACTTAATTTGTTATGGTCTGTTTGATATAGACAATTTTCTGAACAAGTTGTTTTGTTTATCATGGCCCTCTTCTCTTTAAATCCTAAACTTCAAAGTTGTTGATAAAAACTAAGTAGTTATTTTCGTTTTAGAAATTCACCAAAGGCTGTGCAAGTATGAAACTATAAATTATAGAGGTTATTCGGGCAATAACTTCATATTTTTCCTGTCATGGTAAACCTAATTGATTTATTAATGGGCTGAATTTGATTTTTGTAAATTGCTGCTTTTGCTTTTGATGAATTCCCTTCAAAATAAAAACAGACATTAGTTTATATTAGAAATTTAATTGCACACTTGTGAAACGGGATGCGTCGGAGTTACTTAAACAACAGTTTTCAGAGTACCGTCAACTGGAACCTTCTAGAGTTATCTTACACAACTAGGCTCAAACTACTGAGACATGATTCAGGGGGATAAAAGAGAGAAGGTACACAGAATTAACGACTGAAATAGAGGAAACAACGGAAATCGAGCCTAAAGCAAATGGATCTTGTCAGATGCTAGAAACACAATGTATGTGTACAAGACCGCAAGAGGTGCGACAGGGGGGGGCTCCCTACAGTCGAGGATTCGGGATGGGGGAAGGGAAACAACACCCCCCCCCCCCCCAAGGGCAAGTGAGGAATAGTAAAATATTGCCGACGTGTCAGAAAATATGTTCCCTTAATCGTCTCACAAATCGTTTCACTGGGATTGTATTTGATGAAATATAAATGCTGCAACAAATTATACGTGTGCATATTCTACAATCGGTTACAGAAAAAATTGACAGTGGCATTGTGAAAATGGCGAGCAAGTTTGCTTTGGCCAAAGAACTTCGCAAAGAACCCACGTTTCAAGACGTTCGACTGCCCCTGAAGACGCTTTAAGAATGTAGTGACTCATACATATGTTAACAATAGTCTCCATTTGCCGCGAAAATATGCTTGGATATTTGTCCACAGACACAGACAGTATTTGTGTCGTTTATTAGTAACAATGTTCACTTTTCTGTGTTCTCTTTTACGACTTTATTAACCAACAAATGTTCTTTCTCCTGTAAGCAAAATGCTTTCTCATCTTGAATTAATGTAAGCGAAGACTTTTATCGAATTGGACGCGAGATGCGAAAATTGGGGAGTATCATCGAATAATCCCAAGTTTTAGCGTGGGCATATTCAGTCACGTGACCCATTTGAACCAATTGCGCGCGAACAAAAATATTTGATGGATTACAGAAAAAAATATATATATATATGTATATATATATCTACAACAATAAGAGCTTATGTTAGTAAATCCTGCAAAAAGTGCGTTGTGTGCGAGATCTTTGTGCCCTGCAGCTGTATACATGAAGAGTGGACGCATGAGGTTGCTGAGTGCTTTGCATGTGTACAGCCGCCCCCTCCCCTCCCCGATTTTTGCGAGGGGATGGGGCGGCTGTACACAGGCTACTGAGTGCTCAACAGTGAAGCGTAGCGGCATATGCAGCCTGGCGAATAACGCAGCCGAGACAAAAATATAACAGACTTCCTTTCTTGTAATTATTAACAAGTCAGTTCCGATTGAAAGAACAAAAGAAAGGAGAATATCAGTTCACAGTTCGTTAAAATCACCATCTCAATTTTAGTTTTCGATGAAAAATAAGAAATGATCAATCAGGTTGTAGGAACCAGACAAGAACGTCAACAACCCTTCTCACCGCTCTGACACATCAGTAGTACTACTGTGAAGATTTCAATGCTGTTCAAGGATCGAGCAACCGAACTTTTTCAAATTTTGTACAATGGGAACAGCACGGAAATTCTGTAATTTAACACTTTGTTTACTATTTCAAAACCATTTCCCGTAAAATTCAACATTTCTTTATCGTACAAGAACCGTGACTCGTCCTCAGTCGTTTTTAAGATATGCGCGGCGCTACATTTAATGGAGAAAAGGATGACGGGAGGGAATTAAGAGGAGGTGGAGTCTTGTCTTGTCACCAGTCCTTTCTTACTTTCTCGTTTCCCATTAAACTGCTTCCTACATCCTCCTTGCACCGGTTACCGCGCTTTGAGGACGACCAGGGAAAAGTTAGTAAGAACCCAGCTAATTTTTGGCTTTAACTCACTCGTGAGTTTTCTGTAGCTCCATGATGGTTAGGCATCCAACCGCGAAATCGAAAGGTCCGAGGTTCAAATCCTCGTAAGGTGTTCGATGTTGTCTTTGTTCTTTGGTCTTTTTCACAGCTGTCTAACCTCATGATCATTTCTAACTTTCGTGGAATTTGGCCAAGAAAAAATACTTGGCTCTTGAATTCAACAGAATTTAACTTGCCGCACTAGAACGACAACGCAACAATGAAAATTTGTTATGTTCGATGTTGTCAGAACACCCCGTTTCAAAAAAATAGCTTTATGAGGCTTATGTTGTTTTAAGTTTAACCTACAAAGGCGGAATCTAACAAAGACAAAACGATAGTTCATAAAGGTGCTGTTTACGTTCGAGTGCTCACGACATCATGCGCTATACATGATTATGTATTTATGGACAGGTGATTAGGCACATGTCATGTAGTGCAGCGCGGATTAAAAGCGGTCACGTGGAAAAACTCCTTGCGCAAGCGCATATAGCCCTTGTACTCGGGTTGTGTAACCATTTGGTGGCTCAGTAGAAAGACAACAGATTCGACGAAGGATATTGTGCGTGATGCACGCAACACGCGCCATCTCTAAACTGGTACCATGCTCCACATGCACTGAGGATCAAAACTCGTCACGTGCAAAAGTTATTTGCGCAAGCGTAGACATCCAGGTTTTACGTGGCAGCTGGTACTGTGGTCGTTTCCACGTTTGATGAGTTCGAGAGAGAAAAGATAAAGCGAATTGAACAGCTGCGACGCGCAAACTTTTCACAGGAAAGGATAAAGTTTTTTTTCGCTCTACTTAAGGCCGTTATTCTATTGCTTCCAAGCTTGATCTAGTGGGTATTTTATGAGAGAGAGTATGTGAAAAAATAAAAGGGACAAACGTTTTGAATGAAAAATTGTCGGTGTTACTTAAACCTGGCGTATCTTACCAACCTTTTAAATGAAAGGAGTTCTCTACTAGGGATCATTAGATGTCTGGTAGCTGGGACAGTTGTTGTGGAACATGGTACTTTGTGAATAAATCAGCTAAATTATAAATGTGCAGTATGTAATAACTAAATGATTATACATCGATTTTCGCTATCGTTTTTTCGCTGGAAAGAGTTCTAAAACAGGTTGGTCAATGCCTTCGCCTTGATGTATAGCTTGATGTATAGCTTGATGTATAGCTTGATGTATATATGATGTATATTCATATTTAGCTGGACAATATATCTTGGCCCTTAGCTCCTGGCAATAAGTTGAATACACAGAAGTGTACCAACACAATACCGGTTACAGATCACAGTAGAGAGTCTTAGAAGAACAGAAATAGAAAATCGTGGCATATTCTGAAAATTTCTTTAACGCACAGTTGTACGAGTATTTTTTTAACTGTTTTCCTGTTTGTTTCAATATGCTCGAGTAATCCCCACTCCAAAAATGCTTCTATAGTTCTTCTTGCTAATTGCGGCTGTAAAAGCACTAAGGTACACGCTATGTCAATGTTGCTTTAGGAACACAATGTGCAATTGCATATTCAAGGATCAATTCACAGCTAAAAAGAGAGGAGCTTTCAAGTGGATTATCATATTAATATTCATAACAACTGCTGTCTCGGCCGGCGAGAGTGTTTCTTGCACGCAATGTGAAATTTTCGTTTAAATCCTTCTTTTAAATTCATGTGACAATACAAAAAATTGAATTTGATATTTTCTCTAGACTTTGGGAAATTGAGAAAGCTTCACCACTGAATTCTATGCCACACAACAGAAGAAGGGTTACCACACCTAAAACTAAATATAGCTTTTATTGTTTGGACATGTCTGACCAGATTCCTGGTGGAACTTATTTCTCACTCCTTGAGACAGGTTGGCTTAATCAGCCATGATCTGGTTTCTTTTTTTTTTTTTTCTTCACGAATTCATTTCACTCCTACCAACACGATTCCTCGTTTTTGTTGTAGTATGTGTTTATGGGGGTGCCACCATATGCATACGCCGTAGGCAGACGATTGATAAAATAAAACAAAAGGTTCGCATCGTTTCAAAAATAATCCTTTGTTTGCCAAGTCAGTTTTTCAAGATATCGTTAATAAATTATATTAGATGCAGTGGTCGTCGAGAAGTGTAAATTCAACCTTCTTTAGAAAAAAAAAAATTATTTCCAGATCGTTGAAAAAAAGGGCACCGAAGATTTTACCAAACGAAACACTCGCATCATTCCCTATATTATTCGCTCAATTTTCACCGTTGCGGTTTTCTCGACACGAACCGTGAAATGTTTTTTCTTGACTCTGAGAAGTAACAGAGCAATATTAATTTGCCCTTTACGCGATTATGATTATATTCTTCCAGTTCCACGAATTCGTTGGCACATTGTAGAGGAAAAGATCACGCTCAATGTTCCTAGATAATTCTCTGGCACAAGTTTCTTTTGAACTGTCCACCAAAGGATATTGCATTGTCTGGAAAGTTCACACCTTTCTGGAATACGATAAGCGTGATCCTGTTTTAAAATGACCGCGTGAACTAGCGATTGCGTGAACTAGCGATTGCGTGAACCTTTTGTTACGTAAGAACATCGCATGACAATTTCCTTTCTTAAAGAAGGAGCTAAAAACTTTATTCTGGCTCAGGTATGAGGATGAAAGTGCCAAATAAAGGCTAAATATGCATCATGTCTGCATGAAAGCTCGCTTGAATCACGAATTGTGGACAAACATTCTCTTTTTTCTAAAACCAACTGCGTCATTTGCGTGACATTTGACTGAAGTGGCGTGACAAGACGCTTCTGGATGACACTTCGTGTCAAGATCTTAAAGAAATACTATAACCACGTATCGTGTTCGCGATAACAACTAAGATTTAATCGTATTTTATGCAGGTATATTGAACGTGTAAAATTCTCTTCTTCGTCTGTTCGCAATACTGGCAGCGATATTGCAGAAGGGAGGTAACACAACACGTAGTCGCGCATTCTCTGATCTCTATCGCATTCTAACCATGATAAAATTTGGGCAAAAACCAATAGGGAATGAGTTTTTGGCAACGCGTTTTGTCTGTGATTGATTCCAACACTTCTGGTTAGTCACGTAACAACCCTCTGTGGCGACGCTTTTCACCTCAACAAAAGAAATTAACAACAAAGATAGCCAACCTCAACAATGAGCAAGTTAGTACAACAAATGTGCCTCGTAGCGTCTCGTGAGCTCTTTAAAGAAATCATCCTGTAGGAATATAATTAGCATTGTGTCTCACGTTTTAAACCCCAGTTTGACGTTGAAACGATAAAATTTCATCTTCATAAATCCTTTGTCTGGAAAAACAGGCTCGTTTGACAAATTCCAGAGGCGAGTTTTGCGGATGAGTGACTTGATGGCCGTTCAACATCCAGCGTGACTAAAAACACGACCACTGGTCGAGCAAAAATACAATAGCAAACCATTCGGATGTGACGAGATTTTTCCTCGCTTCCTTTCACATGCAAATTTTGGGGATTGTTATACCGGCGGCGGATTGTAAATATTGCATAAATTACCTGGGTCGTCTTAAATCAAACCAATTATCATGTCTGTTTCACGTGCTTAGCCAATCGCGTCGTTTCTTTTTCTAACCCTAGTCAGTTTCTGGCCTTGATCAATACCAGCTCAGCACAATGTGCATGTCAATCACTTTACTGTGGGGTCGTGGAATCGGGTATACTCAAACCCATAACTTGACGTTTCTCAGCTATTTGGGATTCTAAAGTCTTCAAAATTAAATTTTTTAACGGCAACTTCTCACCGAGACGGTCTTATACCGTGTGTAACGAGTCGTGACTTGAACAGACGAATTCGCGCAGGTTTCATTACGTGAAATCATTTATAAGCTTCAATGGCTGGCCGCGTAGTGTCTCGCGAATTCACCATCGACGGTTTGGATTTTACCCTGTAGTAAAGGAGACAACAGTACACTAGCCACCCTGGCGGACTCCGAATCAATGGATGTAAACGCTAACAGTAAGCTTAAGCGAAAGAAGAAAACTCATGGGTTAGTATCGTGAGCTGTTTGTTGGTTGGTGTTTCGTGTCGGTGTGAGAATCGTGAGGTGGAAAACGCTCGATTGTCCGACTTGAGCCTGGACATGGTGTGATGTTTGTGTGGAGTATTCTCACCTGAAGTCAGACCGTGGTTTCGTGAAAACTGTTTTCCTTGTACATAGATAAGAAAAGTGTTTATCAATTTTAAGATATTCTTCCCCTAAACTTTGGTTTTTGATTCGTATTTTCAGGCCTGGTAACCCGTCGAAACGACATCGAGATCGACTAAACGCGGAGCTGGATAACCTCGCGAGGTTGCTGCCGTTTCCTGAAGAAATCGTCACGAAACTGGATAAAATATCTATTCTCAGACTTACAGTGAGCTATTTGAGGGCGAAGAGTTTCTTTCAAGGTAGTAAATGTTTTACATGCATTCGTTTTACGATATGCTTGTTGGTTTTACCTGCGTGGTTATTTTTTTTTCCTAATTGCGAGACACGGTGGTGTTAGATGCTAACCATAAATTATTTTCTTCGGTTTGTTGATTTGAATATTGTAAACTGCTAAACCCGAACGGTTCTAAATTTCTTTGCCTGTTATGACATTTTAAATCGATAATTTAATATTAGTCGGTAGACGTAACTTTATACGAGTTTCGTAGACATTTGGGGGTATTTTATTAACGATTGATATTTTTTTCGTCGCGTTATCCGAACTAGGACCTTGACTGTTTACCAAACGTGGGCCATAAATTGCGTTGCTGCTTTCCAAACGTAAACAGAATTTTGACGGAAGAGGATCTCCTTAAAGCTTTTTGATTATTCTACAAGACTAGAGGGCAGACAGGTCATCCATGATTGCCCTATTATGAACCTTTTTTCTTTGGTGTAGAATTAGCAAGAACGCACACGAGTTCCAGCGAGTTATATTCATTCGTGAGGCTGACGAAGAACTCATTACTGCTGCAGCGTTACCCAAAGCACACGAATTCCAGCTGCATCAAATAAAAAAGCATTGTTTGGATACTAGTCTGACGGAAAGTAGACTGCTTACGTATGTCGAGAGGGTTTCAGGCGGGTCTGAATAAGGCTGTGGTTACATATGTTTTCGTTGTTGAAAATCACGTAGAAGTTCACGAATGTGACTTCAATCAGGGTCGTCGTTCAAAGTGCTTAAGCGTTTGGTTTTCGTGAAATTTAAGTCAAAACATCACAGGCAATGGCATTTAGGTCTTATTGAGTGTAATCATCGCTTGACAGTGATATCTGACAAACACAAGACCGTCGCATTACGGCCATTTTCCGCTCTCTTTACCCGATAGACGGTATTAAACTCTATTGGTAGCAGTTCGCCAACTTTATCATCATCCATTTTTTTTTTTCACATTGAAATAATTTGGTTGTTCAGAAAATGGCAAAGAACAGAATTTACCAAAATCTATTGATATGGTTGTTTGTCTTCAGGCGCGACGGTTTCCAATGCCCTTATTGAAATAAGCCTCACGGTTTGTTGTGTTCTTCTGAGAAAATTTAATCAACCAAAATTTGCCTGTTAAGCGAAAAACGATAAACGCATGGAGTGAATTCGCATGCAGAAGTCAGATACAACGTTTTGGCAAGGTATCATGTCCTGCGTGAGCACTTAAAAACAGAATGGCGTTGTTGTGTTGATTGGGAATTTTTTGAACGTAAGTCTGGTCGATTCACACCTTTTACATTATAAAATGCAATAGATGGAAACCCTTGGTCACGCAGCCGACTAAAGCGAAATATTTATCAACTTGGCTCACGCAACGAAAAATTTGCGAAAAAGGAAAAACATTATTTCATGCTGTGCTTGGATTTCACTTTTTCATTCACGGGACAGAATCTGCAGGTTCTCTGAGTAAACCGGTCAGCGTTGCGTGTCCGTCGATCACGGGGTGATCATAAATGATAGATGGTCCATTTTCCTTTGGCGTTTCTTGGGTTTTGTTTGAGTGGAAGTATCGCTGTGGGATACCTTTCTCTCTGGAATTCGTTACCCTTGACCTAGACAATTCCTACGTAGCAAATTGTTTATACTCTTTTTTGGTATTCAAATAATCACTACTTCTACAGTCGAGTTTAGTTTTCCGGATTTACCCCTCGGGCGGTATTTACTTCTATGCTCTTTATTGTAAGTCTCTGATCTGAAATCTATCTAATCTTAAAGTTCTTCGATGCTAGTGTGATGAAGAAAATATTGTTTCGTTTAAAGCGTCTTTTAGGATGAACACACACACATGAGGTGCTCACTTCTTCTGCAAACGCCCTGTGGAAAACGAAATTCCTCGGCCTCAATTTATGTACGTTTGGGGTGTTCAGTAAAACCCGTTGTTTCCCTATGTACGAAATCCTCAAGACAACTGCTTCACACGAAACCAAAAAGTTTCGTTCACGGTGTGGCGAATACTTTTGCTAAGTCTCGTTTTCTTGTACCATGGGAGACAATATCGTTTCGCCGGGCCAATTCACATTTTTGCATATATTTTCCTCGAATCCCAGAAGCACGTTTGGATTGTTTTAAAGGTGAATAATGATGAGACCATTTTGTCGAAGTTGTGGCTTCATTTTTTCCATTTATTACCTCTTTCTTTGTGATAATCAATTTTTGGACGATATCGCAATGTCCACATTTGCTTTATCAAAATGTTGTGTTGGTCATGCAACTCAGTGTTAGGATTCAAATGAAACGCAGCAACAGCTCGCTTTCGGAAAGTTTTCGGAAAATACTCTCAGTTGGTGACGAAATTTCTTCGATATGTGAAATTTCATTTAAAAAATCAAGAAACTTGTGGCAACTCTGACTAAGGAAGGACTATCTTTCGTATTCCGTGTTAGGGTTTTTGTAAGGCTGTATACTGATTGCATGACGTTTGATTTACTGTACGCATACTGAAAGAAAATTATCGCTTTGTTTTTATACGACGCTGAAATTTGCAAGGCGGCTGAATTTTCATTTTTCCGTTACGAAAACTTAGCTATTCCTTAATCCCATCGTCTCAACTATGTTTTTCAAATTTGTTAAATAATTTCCGCGGAATATAACCTTGTGATGCGATTTTTACACAAACACCTCCTTTACGAGTGAAATCGAAAATTGTTTTTTGGCTCAAAATTTCCTTCAAATTTGAATAGGAACAGCTATTTCTTTGCCTCAACTCTCTTCATTGGAAGGTCCTGCATTATAAAGGCTTTCTAGAGATGTCCACAGATGCATGATTCTTGAAACTAGATATATACACTCCAGAACTTCTGTCTATAAATGAGTGGTTGTTTACAGGCTTAAACATTGTAATGGAATTGAGAAAGACCTTGTATTTTTGTAGTTTCAAATGGCAGACACGGGCAAGAGGAAACTTGTGAAGAACTGGTTAGAGAGGTTGAGGGAAATGGTGTCTTCTCCCAGCTGTCTCTAGAGGTAGGTAAACAATATTTACGATTTCATTCCTTCAGACAGTTGCATTTTACCTCGCAAATAATTTTTTGAGGCTAAAGGTCACACAGTTTTGAATGCTTGGGTTTACACCTCACTGATAGGAAATTTACCACCTAAACAGGAATCGAGTTTCCAGATGGGATTTGAACCCATGACCCTCTGTGATCTAGTCGGATGCTCTAACCACTGAGCTACAGGAGACTCTATGGTGAGCAAGGGTCAATTAGTGGGTATTGACTGGAACCGCATCACGCGGCTTCACAGCCAAACATCAGATTACGGAGGGTCGTGGGTTCAAATCCCATCTGGAAACTCGATTTTTTGTGTTATGCATATGTCGAGTTATTATCCTGATAAGTTTGACAGTCCTGATATCTTTTACTGATTGGCGCTTGCTGTTAATTGTTGAAAACCCTTTCGAGCCTCCTTAACTTGCCATTAGGGTGAATATATATCTTATTAACCAAGTGCAAGGGCCATACTTGGAGAATATTGTCCCGAGGTCTTGACAGTACGGACTGAGCACAGCGAGGTCCGTACAAAAAAGACAGAGGGCTGATATTCTTCCAGTACAGTCCTGAGCAAGTTTGGTTAATAAGAGATGTATTATACAACTGAAGTTCAAAGGGATGCAAGTGCGGTATCATTCGGGACAGTGCCCGGTCCAATACTGAGAGAATAATTATTGACCGGCAATAGAGCATTTTGATTGGTTGATATTAGTTTTTGGCCCTCTGACGGCCCGAGTCGTGTAATAAATTCTATTATTGATCATCTTGAACAATAGTTCAAATTTTTTCACATCACTGGGTCCATAGGTTCATCATTGTTTTGGGACTGACCCTTTGCCCTGTACAAATCCTTTCTGATCAACACTACTTTTTATCAGAAATATTGTTTTGTGGGATAATTTTAAATTCTGCATTTCACTTGCTGAGTAAAATGATAGCACTTTGCTAAAGTCTGGTATTTTACTTATAAATCTTCTCTTGATTGGAGAGTAAACTAGCAGCAGCATTTTAAATTCTGATATGTGTCTTTCATCTATGAGATAAGTTGCTTGGGCACTGGTTTGATTTTTCTGATGAACTAATAAATCTGGGGTTAAACCAAAGGGAAAAAAAATAGGCTCATTCTGTGTAGGTTTTCTTTTTTTTCCAAGAAACAGTTATTATTATATCATAGTGGGAAATCCCTGCCTTATTTATTTGGTGTTTGTTAAAGTGAGGTTAAATCATTGGCCATTGTCTACATTTTGTTTCCTGGTGCTTTTGATCTCAAGTTTGCTACACAGATTATAATGGAGAATAAGATAGGAGAACATCTAAATAAGTTTCTTTTTAAATTTTAAATTGAATAAATATGATTATTAAATCATGGCCTCTTAATTCCTTCATTTGAAATCTGTAATTTGGGTTGGAAATTAGTATTTTGTGTCCATCAAAAAGCTTTCAATGGAACTTCTGTCTTCAAGCTACAAGTACATCCTTGTCTCAGCCTGTAGCATTCACTGATTCAGACCAGGGTTAAAAACTGGAATTTTTAATCTAGAGTCAGATCCCCTGGCCATTTTGAGATAGAATGTGTGCCACACCTCTTCCAAGTCTGTCATTTTAAGGTGCACTAAATTCTTTAACTTAGGCAATTCAACTATTGACTGCTTATTAAAGCAAGATGAAAATGGAAAGCTTTTAACTTCTCAAGAGACTTCAGTTCACTTGTAATAGAATTGAATGAATAAATTGCCAGTTTACCAGGTGGTTTCAGACCAGATTTTATTGTCTGGAACAAACTCTCATGGTGACCAGAAGATCCTCAATTATTTACGATGTCTGTTTTTTTTTTATTCAATCAAGTTGAGAGATAATGAGGAAAACATGATCTTCAAAATGTCTAGTCTTGTTTTAAGACTGTTTTTAGTTGTAATATAAAAATTAATTTACTTTTTATTGCATCCATTGTCACAATTTTAGTGAAAAAATAGATTGTATAAAAAATCTGGCAACTTGTTTGGTGAAAAGGGTCACCAGTCTTTCCCAAGTTTTGACTTTTGCAAGACTGGTTTTGGGTGTTGTGAAAAACATTGTAACTGAGTGTTTTCTCATAAGTAGCTCATGGGAAAAATGCTTAGCTTTTTGTAAATGTGTTATTTTTGGGGTGTGGATGGGGAGATTATGGGACTATTTTTTGGACATCACCTAGTTGTCCAGTTCCTGCCATCTGTACTTTTTTACTACAATTTTGAAATATTCCCCTCTAAATTTAATGGACAAGTAAAGCAAAATCCTTTGTATTTGTCCAGCTGATCAAATAATCCTGTTCCATTAAGTATAAAACACATTTGTAATAAATAGCACACAAAGTGTCTCAGGCTCTGGCACCTTTATTAGAATTAGTCATGGTTATGGCCACACGACTGCCACATGTAGCCAACCCTTGATTTTCATTCTTCATAAACAGAATGGGAAGTCTACAAGTGTATAAAAAAGAGGAGTTGATGAACTATTTTGATTGTTAGTGAAAGCACCCACTTTGCTTTCAATTCAACTCTACAATAGTTATAATTTTTTAGAAACTAAGGTATTCATACTAGGTCATGGCAAGAGGGGTACACCCCGAGGTGTCTTTGACCCTCTTCTTGTCTGGAAAAAAGGTGCTGATGCATATTAATGATAGAACAAAGGAGCATACCCCAGAAGCCAATTAGATGATCCCAACCCCTTCCAAGGATGTTTCTTAGTGAAAGCATTGCAGTTCTAAACATGGTGTTTCCCTTAAACAGGCTCTGGATGGATTTATTGCAGTGATAACACAAGAGGGGCAGTTGTTTTACGTGTCTGAGAATGTGAGGGATTTTTTGGGTTATTCACAGGTGACCAAACTTTATTTTGAGTTATCTCTGTTGAGCTGTTTGCATTGAGCCCGTCAAATTTTCTCCTGCTGGGCCTTGTCCACAAAGAGTATTGCATTGTGATTTTTTTGGCACACAGATGTAGCCAGAGGACAAAGTCCACAGAATTGACTTTTTAGTGAAACTTTATTTATAGCTCACTTGTCCAAGTTGCTGTTTCAAAGTTTTTAGTTCAGTGGCTAATAGCTCCTTTGATGTTTAACCACAACTTTTTAAACATGTAATCTGAAACATCTCCAGCATGTGTTGAGTACCCCTTGATCACACAGAGCCTATGACACTGTAATGCTTCAAGAGCTGTATTTTGTTTGTTTCTGAAAAGCTTCACCTTTTGATTGGAAGCTTCCAAATACCAGTTAACCATCCAATACCCATATTCTACATTGCATTCATTTTAATGTAACTTTATTACAGGCTGCTGTCATTCACCAAAGCATGTTCAAATTTCTACACATTGATGATCAGGATATGGTGAAAAGTAATCTGGCATGGCCAAAACCAAGTGGAAAAAAGACAAAGACAGTAAGTATATATTGAGTGAGAGGGACAGACTTCAAATGACTCCTTTATCTGGGTCAATCATATCAATAACCTGCAGCACAAACAATGGTTATATAAAGCTTGAGAACAAGTTAGGCTGGAAGGCCATATATACTACTTTTGATTTCTTCAGAGTCAGTAATGTTAATTATAAGAAGTGTATCCCACCATACTTAAACTGCAAATATTTACTGCTTATTGATAATTCATCATCATTGCTACCAATGAGATCCTAATTCCTGGTTATCATAATGTTATAAATCTGTAGACGATTTATCATTAATGATATTGTGAGGTTGTACCCAGTATAATTTATAAGCAAAAGTTTAATTCTATTTTTACTAACCTTGATGAGTTAAGTGTTGATTGAGAATGTTTAACTGTTGCAGCAAATTGATGATAAAGATGGAGGAAAATTAAGTCCAGATAACATGAAAACAGGTATTATTCTAAAAGAGTGAGGAGTTTTATCAGATATTATAAAAGATTTAGTTAGATACTGGAAGAACTCTATATTTATGTTTTTTTCTCCATTCTTGGGAAGGTTCCGATGAGAATGACAGTTTGAACCGCTCATTTACTTGCCGGATGAAGTGTACTTTAAATCATGGTGGGGGATTTTATAAGGTAACTATCTTATTGGTTATAGATGCTATTTCAAGGAACTTTTGTACAAAGAAAAGAGGATGTGTCATCCCTTGATCTGAGGATTCAACATCTCTACAGGATTATCAAATTTGTGGCCTCCTCTGTGTATCTCATTGTTTTGAATAAAGGCTGATAGTTTCGAAAGAAACTGTTTGGGGCTGTGTCGGTGGGAGTAACGAAATAACTTGGATATGTCAACAAAGTTGAAGTGGTAAATTGGCCACTGTAACGATTACAAAAGCTGATGTTTCAAGCGTTAACCCTTCGTCGGAGCATTGTTTTGAAGTTTGTTTGTGGGTAATGAAATTGTGATAGGTGGCAATAAAAAGCGAGGTTGATGTTTTAAAAGTGCATTGACATGGTTGGTTTTAGATGGAAAGTCATTAAAACCCATAGTCCATGTTGGTGATGGAATTAATCTTCACAAATATCAATGTACCTTATGTACTGTTTGATTCTTGTACTCCCAGCCTTTTGGTTTTCATAGTAAACTGGTAGTTTAAGGCCCAGTTACTTCAAGTATGTTAAAGCACAGTAGTGAAGGATCTTTAGTTCATACTCTGATCCCATTCTTACACCCTTAGGTTTTTTAACTTCTGAAGGAGAACTTTTATTCCCTTAATTGTCCAAGTATGCTTGTTACTCAATGAGCACAATATCTTTCAGCTTTTCAGATTATCAGGCAGATTGAGGGAAATCCATACGAGAAAACGAGACAGTCAGGTGGTTGAATATGGCCTTTTTGCCATCTGCTCACCTGCAAACAATCCAAACTCTCATCATGCAGGTGTTAATATTAAGAAAGAGGTTGCCTTGACTGCTCAGAAGAGATTGGAACGATCTAATAGTGAACCAGTTTGTGTAAGGTATGGAGCCTCATGTTCAGCTGTGTTTCATCTTCAGCGAACTTTCGTATTCAGTTAAAATGCTGGAAAACTAGTAGAAGTGAACATACCAAACACTTGGCTGAGTGTTGCTGGCTGAGAGAAATTAATATGTCTTAATTGGTAATAAAAATGTTGTACCTGAAATGTAGACACATTCATCACCCTTGCCCATCATATGAGCTACTGATACTCCTTCCTGTTCATCAACCAACACAATTACTGCTACATTGTTGACCTCCTTTTTTTGTCTTTTTCCTTGTTTAATTTTAGAAGGACTGGTCTTCCTTTGACTGGAATGTTACATTCCATGCCCATCAGCCGTCACTTTTCAATGTCTGAAACTCGTTCTGCTGCTGTCAGTCCGCTAGCATCACCTACAACTTCTACTGACTCTGGCCACCCATCTCCAGACTCCAGCCAAGGAGGAAAAATGTTACTTACAGATTCAGATGTACGTAGTGATGGCAGTGAGGTTTCTCCACCATCGAGCAGCAACTCCCAAGATGTTGATGGAAGGCCAGCATCAGAACGTCTCCTATCTGGTATAAACAACCCTTTTGTAAATCCCCACAGGATGGATCGGAAACGAGCTGCTGCTTTTATGGATTCTATGATGGCCGAAGACAAAGATTCCACTAGGAAACGTTCTCGCAGCGTAGCAGATGCTGAATTGTTCTTACGAGATGGAGTAGACCACAGATCTTTGTTCTTCAGAAGTAACCTGCCCACTGTTCCTGAAGTGAAAGTAGAAAATGGTAAGAAGAAAGACGAATGTACCCAGTCTTCTGAGGTTCCTGGTAGAAGACTATTAAACAACCATGACAGCAGACTTGATGCAGCTCAGGGTCTTGTGAATCTTGGAAACATGGCTTCCCAGTTTCCTGGACTTTGTGCCTTTCCCCCAGAATTGATGTATCCTGATGTCATGTTTCCACGTGTCGATATGCTTCATGATCTGCAGCACCTAAGGAATCCCTTTGACATTCACAATCCTTACTGCTTAGGAAGTGATCCCTACACAGCTGCTTTGGCCATGAGGCGATGGCTCAACAATCCGGACATGTTGCGTTCTCAGCTTAACCCACTGTTGGCCGCTCAATCAGGGCTCCTGAGCCCAGCGGAGAGGCTGCACTTGCTGAAGTTTCCATTTGGTTACCCTGCTCCATTTCCCAGTCCATCACCCTTTGATTTTGGAGCTGCTGCGGCTGCTGCTGCAGCTGGACTAACAGAAAGGAACCTGCCTGAGTATGCCTTTAGAAGCCTCTACCAGAATGGCCTGGTTCCTGATATGGCAAAGAGTAGTGCTTTGATAGAGACAGAGCAGAAGCAGACTTCATTATCAGAGAAACAGGCCAGAGGAGGGAGCTCTTCTCCACCAAGTAAAACACCTAGTAAATCAGCAACCCCTGATAATTCCAAGAAGGGTGAAGTAGAAAAGGGAAAAGAGAAAAAAGAAGAGAGTGATCTGGATGAATTCTTTGAAGAGAAGAAAAAGTCAACAAAGGAAAGAAATGCAGCAAAAGAGGATGAAGATGAAGATGAAAAAGTGGATGTAGTGGGGGGAGTCAAGCCAACATCAGTACTGCAGCAGACATTTGCTGGGATTCAAGAGGAGTTCAACAGTCGATTGGAGAACTTGAACAAGTCATTCGCTCGATCACTGGATCAAAATATGACTTGCCCTTGAGGAGGGTAAGTTCCTAGAACAATGGAAGCCTTAAAATTGGTTAGAAAAGATATTTGGGTTAATTGAACCTCTGTCCTTAAGTTTCTTACTGAATTGTTACACATTGTTGTTTTCCTTTCCCATTTCTTATGCCACTTTTAGGTTTCTTGTGAGACAAATTTCTCTTTTTCTCTGATAGCACAATGCACTATTTGTACAATGATGTATCAGTGATTAATCTGTCTGTCCCTCTGTTAGTCTGTCTGTCTGTCCCTCTGTTTGTCTGTCTGTCCCTCTGTTAGTCTGTCTGTCAGTCTGTCTGTGTCTCTCTGTTAGTCTGTCTGTCTGTCTGTCCCTCTGTTAGTCTGTCTGTCTGTCCCTCTGTTAGTCTGTCAGTCTGTCTGTCTGTCAGTCTGTCTGTCTGTCCCTCTGTTAGTCTGTCAGTCTGTCTGTCTGTCCCTCTGTCAGTCTGTCTGTCTGTCCCTCTGTTAGTCTGTCTGTCTGTCTACCCATCATTTGACTTTCTTCTTCATACTTGTGTCTCTTATTAGACCCATGAAGACAATGTGATATAGAACCCAAAGATCTTTTCTAACTTCTAACAGTTTAAAGGGCTTCCGTGAAGTTATCTCTTGATTATCCCTTACTGTTACTTTTTTTTTTTACTGGTTATGGGCATGTCTATAGTTTGAACGACTGAGTTAATGGAATTAGTTATTGTTTTCAAGCATTGCACCTAAGGTTTCAGCTTAAAAGAATATTTTAAAAAATTAGATGTGTAGTGATTGTAACATGCTAGAGATCTGCTTAGTAGTTGCATAACTGCAGTGTGAAGCTTTGTATATTGCCTCATTTACTTTTGCTTGTTTTAAAGATAAGGTGTGCTAGATTGCAATGGTGGCAAAAGGAACTGTGAATATATGTTTCCTTTTAAGGTAGTATATAGTTAGGTGTGATTTACACAATAGGTATTAGAATGGTAGTTTAAGGATTTGAGGACTACCTTATTCAATTTTTTTCACACCCTCCAGGTTAGGGTGTGGCAGATACCACATGTACTTCTTAGCTTTGGTCTCAGGCCAGCTTTGGACATAATGTCTTCAAAGCACTGAGAACCAGGCACAAAATGCATTGCTTTCGCAAGGCATTGGGATTTGGATGAAAATGGGGGAAACCAATCTTGGTTTAAACCGTAATTATTGTCAAGGAACAAAGAGGGAGGGTTCCCCTAAACTTTTTGAAGGAAAGTTGTTAATGGTTACCTGAACGCCAAGTCTGAAAGTTGATCAAAGGGATCATCGCAGGCTGTGGACTGTCTTAGGTAAGATTATGTCCGATTTTTGCAATACCACTTGTACTTCTTAAAATGCGGCAATAATCATTGTTGCTTGTTGCCCTCAATGGTTCGGTGCATTCTCTAATGATTGTTGAACAGTCAGTTGAGATTGCTCAATTTCTTATTTTATTCTGCCTCCAGTTGTTGACTGTAACAAAATAACTGACATAAAAGATTTTGGGTCGTAAAAAATAACTTTTTCTTTTCTTAAGCTTAATTCAGTCATGAAGGCGTGATATTTTGGTTGGCCTGTCTTTAAGTTTTGTTATTGTTCAGTTGATAATTCGAGAAATACAGGATAGATCCCCGTATTTCTCTAGGGTTACTTTTTCAGTGACTTCGTTGTAGCTAGCATTAAACTAGCCTGCTTTAAGTGATGAAGTAACATCTTTAAAGTAAAGAGGTGTAACGCACACTTCGATTTTGTAGCTAATAATAACTCATTTGTGGCAACTAGTCAGCTAGAATGAAACAGACGCGACAAAATTCTTTTCATGAAAAATCGGGCTTGTAATTTTGGCAATCTATTGCTTATTACAACTCTGTTTTTTTTCCTTAATTATGACGCGCAGTCTGGGTATTATTGCCGATTGCTTATTGTATTATATTCGCAAATGTACTCAAAATTATTTAGAAAGCGACTTGTGTCTTAGCAATGCACAATCGGAGATTCGAAAACGAGTGTGGCGCGCTTCCAAAACGTGTCAGAAGTGCGTTCTAAACGCGGCTACCGTTGTGCGATTTCGTAAGTTTACAGCGACAGAAACGTTATAATTAGGCACACAGTATGGATATTTTGTTATTGATCTTATTACAAGGGCGACTGAGTTAGGGAGTTCTTTATCCTCCTGTCGTATAGGTTTTCGCATATGCAATATTTTTTTATTATTAGTTATACAGTAGTCCTTCCTTTTGCTCTTTGGAAAACGAGTATTCAGAATAAGAAAGTTGTTGAATTTGAGCAGTATTC